GAATGCAGCACATAATAACTTGTGGAAATGAGCAAATTCATCTCAAGCAATCTACTCGCTTACTCACTTTGTGTTTGTCTCAATCGTGCCATCTTCCAATGCACCACTTTTACTCTCTGTTACTCTCTATAGAAAAATTAGCAAAGAGTACTGTGGTAGAACCATGGTTACCATGTGCCATGTGTTAGAACATGGTACAATAGGGATTCTTTGGTTTTTTTTGGACATGGTACAATGGTATGATATCTTGGAGCAACATCTAAATAATTATGGAATCTCATTCCACCTTCCCAATACTGGACATTACCATTGTTTATAGACTAGAACAAATATACAAGTATCATGGTAATACCATGGTATTCTTTGAAGTTTATTGGAGTAACATGTAAATAATTATCCCAAGCACACAATCTTCTTCACTAAAACACCATGGTATTATGCTTTCTAAAGTACAATGGATTGGTATTACCATGTTTTTTTTTCTTCTGGACACTGTACTATAGTAAAAGTTTTAGAGGGTTTTTTGGACATGGTAACAAGCAACATCTAAATAATCATGTCAAGAATGCCATTCTCCAAATATTGAACATTGGTACCACAGTATTACCATAGTTTCTAGATTAGAACACATATAAAAGCCATGGTAATACCATAGTACTGACTGACCTACATTGGAGTATATGTAAATACCATGCAATATATGCATAATATCAAAGCACCATGGTATTACCACTTGATGCCATATCAAGGATATCCCACTGTGCTTTTTTCCTAAAGGTTTCCATGAACCATCGGGCAGTTTTTAACTTCCACTGTGTCCTCCTTATACCTTTCTCACCTTCACACTGCCTGCTTTGCTTTCCTCGTACGCCAGCTATATCTGGACACGCTCTCACACAGACCTTCCCTAAAGCTTATTATCCAAGATACCTAATGGTTAATATTACATAAATGTGACACACATGCTGCACTATGATTATTTAATACAGAATGGCATATGTTGCTAAATAATTACAGGCGGCCACACTCCAGGGTGGGATAGCCCTTACAGTACACAACACATCTCTCTCTGCCCAAACCAAACTTGCTCACATGGTGGTCCAAAACGTGCCTCCCATGTCGCTCTTATTTTCTTCCATAATCCAAACAAATCGATCACATATACACAGGGAACAGATGCTTTTTAGTAGCTTTTCAGTATGCACAGGCATCGCTGAAGTCTAATTAACCCCACACTATACATCCACACATATCTCATCATCCAGTAATGCTGTAATGCCAACATCTTCACTATTTGGCATTATAATGGTTACTTTTATTTTATATTTATTATCTATTGCAAAAACTGGAAATATAAAATATCTTTGAATAAGCTAAGCTTACAGTGCATGCATAGCTTCATTGGTATAGGCTAGTTATGATGGGTTTGCATAGTTTTTTTAACGTATCGATGCATCATCATCACATAAAATATATAGTACTGCAATGCATCTTGTTTTTCTGCAATAATTTAGCTTTAATGCCATTGGGATTTCTGGATGCAGTGCATCCTCTATGTGCAGCCTTGTTTGCAGTAACGCTGTACCAACGAATCGATCAACTGCTTCGGAATGATACACTAAAATACCCTCATGGGCCATCTATGCAAGGATGTGCATGTCAGTGCACGAGCTGACATTGCGAGCATCTCAGCGCATTTTCCCCGCATGACAAGAGTGCACTCTTGCAAGGTCTCGAGGCATTTCACATCCTAACACGTACAATCGACACGGTAACTCACGAGATCACCTCGTTATCCGAGCGCGGTTAGCTACCCGACAAGCGCGCTCACTGACATTGGAGTAAAAGATGCGTATGGGCGAGCGCAAGGAGACGCATGAAACAATGCAGGAATGCAATGCAAACGCCACGCTACCTTTAAGTCGTCCTTTCGCTGTCATCCTCAAACTGTCAAAAATATTTCATTGGATCGAGATGTTAATCTCTCTCTTGCTCTCCTCCCCCTCTATGGCTCTCTCTCTCTCGGGTAACCTGGCACTGTATAACAGTTCATCCATCCGCCAGCAGGCGCGCGCAGCCGTCTATGCGCTCCACATATGTGGCAAGCCGTTTCGCATTTATTCTTCAAAACTGTTTCTTAGATTTATGTGACTGCAATTTAGTTTTAATTACTACATATATACATGTAATATAGTTTCTAGTACCTATTAGTGACTACATCTACACTGCTAGTAAATGCACAAATAATTACAAAGAAAAAGCAAGTAACACTTAAACATGAAAATAGCATATAAAAAAAACGTCCTCCAGTAATCTTTGTTTTATTTTCGTCTTCGGAAAAAAAATGACAGTGTAGGCTATTTCCGTTTTATTGCACTTATTAGATACTAGTACCCATTTAGTCATCACCCCAGTTGTTAGTAACATTCTTATTTCACTAGTTAACAACTGTTTTTTCCCTTTACTTTTGAGATGACTAGTTGAGATACTTTTGAGTGACTCGTTGCAAAAAATAAATAATACAGAAGAAACAATTTTCACTCAAAACGTGGTAGTAAATGTCACAGGTACATAGAAATGTTAATTAACACATTGAATTAAATTTGAAATTTTGAAATTGAAATCTTGAAAAACGTACTCCAATAATCTTTTATTTATAACTTTGAAAATCATTTTTCAAGTGTAGTATCTGATAAATAAGCACTTGTTACTAATTTGCTAACATAAAAAATGTTAGTTTTAAAGAATAAATGCTAAAATGACTTGCCATACCTCGCCTGCATCAGCATCGCTGAGCATTTAGGGAACCGTAATGGGTTGCCAATCTCATATAATGGGAATACTTTTTTTGGATGCAAAACACACCATCCGAAGCATCCTGATCAATCATTAATGCATGACGTATGAGGTTTTCAAAAAATCTTCGATAAAAAGATCTTCCTTACAGCGCATCATCATAGAAACAGAATCATAGCGAGTCATGCACAATCGCACTTAACGCTGCATGCTTAAATATACTGAGTATGAATAAAAAGGTACACAACACAATGCACTTACATTTGATTAGGCGGTCGGTAAGGTTTAAACCCATGATGTCTGTGCTGGACATTCTCATGGGTTGTTGTAGATAACGGGGAAAGTGCGCCGACTCCTAACGGGCGAGCGTGCGGTCTTCGGTGCTGCGGGATGCGCGGGCTGCAGAAGCCGCATCACTTGGTGCGTCTCTCCTCCGTCCACCGTCGGTCAGGGGGAAGATGTGTCGCAGCTGATCCGGGGAAACAGTTATGCTGGAGATGCTGGACTCTGCCTGGTGCCGTGTGGGGGCGGATGGGTAGACAGATAGATAGATGGATGGATGGAGTAGCAGGAGGGGGGCTGGGAGACTTCTGCTCGGTTCAGGGTATCCTCAGCGCGTTGCAGCACCACCCCGACATGGCGAAGAAAGGAACTCCCACGCTCTGGTTTGCAGGGACTGCCTCATACTGCCATCACGCGGAGGCTGATTCGGGGTTTCCCTGCGCACGAGATGAGAGAGAGAGCGCGCGCACACCCAGGCCTTGTTGCTGCTTTATTGACGTCAGTCTTTTTAATGCTTCATGCCGTAGAGAGTCAGAAGGCGGCGTAGGATTCTGACTGTATTATGAATGTTGCAAAAAGAACCAGCTTATGTTATCTTTGTTCTTTTATCTATCTATCTATCTATCTATCTATCTATCTATCTATCTATCTATCTATTTTTTTGTCAAATCAAATATTGTATAATTACCATTTTGGAATGCTGCTTCATTAACATAAGTACAAAACAATTAATGGTTTCCATTGTTTTTGGGCACTGCACCCATGGTAATACCATGGACTTTTGAACATGTACCATGGTAATACAATGTTATTTTTTGAAATAACATAGAGTAGCATGTAAATAATGTATGATAGTCATTCAATAGCAAGTTATCAAAGTATCACTTTACCATGCTACCACAACAACACAGTGCGTTTTAAATATACCACCTGGTCCATTTTGATATTTTATGCTTTCATCACTCTAGTTTGCACTATTTTGTTGTCATGTATTAATAATCAGCAATATTTTTTGTGTTGTATCATTAACAATTTCCTTTAAACCCAGTGTGTCAGTACTGTTCTGTTCTATTCCACCATTACGCCTAAAGGCTTGCTTTTTTCAGTGAATGTGATTGTCTGAATGGGGTAGATAGAGGGCATAAACCTGTGCAACGGGATAAAGGTATCACAATGAAACAAGGTATTTTAGGAATATAGGCCGATCGTTTGATCTTTTTAGATTTGTGTAATCAGGATTATGTGAGGATCAGACAAAAGCAGCCTAAAAATATTTGCTATTAATTGTTTGGACAATCAAATATTAGAAACGCGAACAAAAGCAGGTAAGACAATAAATAAATAAATAAATAAATAAATAAATATATA